CGATTGTTGGAGCGTTGAGCGGCTTCGGTGAGACGATTAATCTTATCGATGATCGCAACAGTCTTGATGCACTTCCGAATGGCTGCATTGAACCTGGCTTCAAGGATGTGGTATTTACATTCTCCATCCAGTTCATCAAAGGTCTTTGCCTTCTCGACTTCAGTTAGCCAATTGATGACGTAAAGTCCATCATAGCTGTAGGCATTGCTAACAGCTTCCTTCATATTGGCTATCCATACCCTCAGCCCAGCCGCGTCGGGCTCTGGCGGGAGGTCTATGGAAATGCACTTAGTCGCAGCTGTACAGTTCGGATCATGGTGGCTACTGTATCCGCCGCCACCAGTTCCGAAGAGATGCTGTGGAACCTGAGAACTACCGATTGACAATGCACACACAGGACAAAGGCGTGTAGCCTTCGGTATACAAATCTCACATGCCCTTTTCATGCATATCTTACATTCCTCAATTTTACTGGGATCAGGAATATCCCGATCACACATCCGACATTTCTTGTCAGGAGGATCGGGGCCACGCATGGTCGGCGGCTCAAGGCCTGAAGGATCCTTCGGCCTTGCACCGTTGGGATCAAATCCTGGATAATATCCGGCTTCACGTTTATCCAGGGGCACGGGGTGCGTAGCCTTCGGGGGACTCTGAATGTGAGCCGCACCGGGCTGACCCCCAGTTGGGGTGTCACGGAATCTGTCAACGGGTGGCCGCAGAGGCGGCGAGAACGACCGCGTCGGGTTCGTCTCAGGTATGCCTCCAGGCGACCTATTCCTGACACGGTTACCATCGGGATCCCTTCTCCTCCTAGTCTCGTCCCTAAGGCACGCAAGACAACAGGGACCCTGGACAAATCCAACTCTCCTGTAGTCATCCTGCCCAGCAGAATGCCTGGTACAGTAGTAGGTCTTACAAAATTGACACTCAATTCCCTTGGTCAGGAACGAGCTTTCCCTACAGACTCCGCATCGGGGTCCGTTACGGGAACATTCTTCACACAGGTTCTCTTTAAATGAGAAACAATACTCACAAATATCACCTCTGCATCCCTTGCAGTGAAACTCAGCCACGAGATGATTATACCCATCACCTACATATTTACATCTGGGTTTACCAGGGTTGCCAGGGTTCCCACCGGCAGCACTCTTCTTCCCCCCTCCGCCTGGGCTTTGCCAATCTGGAGGAGGAGGTGGTGGAGGATCACCATCAGGGTGGAGGTGGCCGCTTATCCGGAGTACGGGACGCGGCTCGCCTTCCTCCTGTGTGATCGTTCAATCCACTACTTGAGGCCTGGTTCGAGTGCCTGGACTCGAGGGAGTTAATTCTCTGGGCCGTATTACCCAGCACCTCGAGCATTTGCTCGAGCTTACTGTTGAGCGTAGTCGAAACGGCCATGTTATGAGTATTCTGCTTGTCCGTGTAGGATTTGCAGTCCCTTGACTTCATCTCAAGGTTGGCTTGTGTCTCATAAAGTTGGTCTTTAACCCACTTTATGCCGTCCCTATTGTTGGTCCAGCGTTGTTCGACATCTTGCATCATCCTATCAATCTGACATACCCTAGTGGACAGGTCCTCGATTTTGAGGTTCACTCCACCAATAGCAGGATGGTTGGATTGGCTCTCCACTAGAGATCTCTCGATCATATCAACACGAGCTATAAGCCCGGTTACTCGATCAGAAAGAGATTCAAAAACAGTTTGAACCTGGGTGATGGAGCGAGCAACATCATCGTAGCTGGCTCGCTCGTTTAGGGCATCGCCTATGCTTATCATGCGATCGGCAACGATCTTGACGCGTTGGCCAAGCTCGGTCACGATGTCCTTAGTCCCTTGTGATAGCTGCATGGCCGCGTTCGCAGCCTGCGTACACGTGCCATGGACGCATTGGTCGTATTTGGCCCTCCACGAGCTAACCTCAGTGGAGAGCTGCTTGATGCATTGATCACTTCTATCATTCCTACGACCAAGGTCTTCGACCTTAGCAACCAGGCGATGAATAATCGCACTTACCGAAGAGTCCACTCTCCCTCTTTCAAGGGCTGTTACAAGATCAGCAACCTCGTTGGGTTGCTCCTCACTCGTAGGACCAAATCCTGATCCGCGATCTCGAGGAGTGGACAAATCAACCATGATTGGATTAGATCTCGGAGGAGTTCTGAAATCATCCTGCACGGCCGTTGATGGCCGTGGGAACTCACTCCGATTAGGAGATTGACTCTGATACGGAGCAGATCTCCTTGCATCACGAACCGCAGAGTGATGTGTCATGCCCAGGCCTTTGGCCACGGGCAGTTTAGGAACAACAGGCCTATCCATTCGCATAGGAACATCAGGTCTCGAGTCAGCAACAACAACGTCATTCAAGTCGGTCGCATTGGACACTCTAGACTCAGACATCGATTCAATATCAGTCGCATTACTGATGGTATGATTGCGACTAGAACTTGATGCCATCATGGATCCAGATTCTATCGGAACATTAGCTCCGTCCATGTCGTCCAGAGCGAAAATGGAAGCCGCGTTGGGCGTAGGGCGAACACCTTGTGCGTTCATGCCACTTGATCTATTAAATTCCTCCTGGAATGCTTCGATTCCATCAAGCACGTTAACGAGTGTGTCCGCGTTTAGCGGGTCTCTACCAATGATCGACGCTGGATCACCTGATCGACCGCGTCCGGAGTCCCGTGCACTGGGGTTACCCCTGTGGGCAGTTTCCCGATCCATCCCCCTTGCCCTATGCGATCCAGTCGAATTTGACCTTGATCGTTTGCTTGGGGTTGGACTGGGATGCAAATCCAATCTATCTACGATATTACGCTCCCTAGGGCTCTCAAATCCTGAAAGTCCTGGGGGAGGGGACATGTTCCTCATGGTCGGGTTTACCGACGGCCTTGGCCTGACGTTACGACTGGCCACGTCAGGATTGAGATTCTCAATCGACAAAGGTAGCATGAATTCATCGCTTCCAGCAGCCCGTTTTGGGCTTTGGAATTGCGGGAAGGATGACGGGGCGGGTGGCCCTGGCATCCATGCGGCAAAATCCATACCAAAAATGTTTCCGTCGTTGGGCCATGAGGCTCTCCAATCGAGCCCACCGGATTCGGTCGGCAGATGAACATCGAATGCAACTCCACTGGATGTACCAAGTTCGGGATTACCGAGCGCTTGAAAAACTATACTACTGGTTGGCACAGGTCTACTGCTACTTTGAGAGTCACGAAACTCGGACTGACCAATATTCATCAGCTCCGGGAAAGATGAGGATTGAGCTCCAGGTGCGATACCGGGCTCGTCATCATCACGTCCTGAGACGGAATCATCATGGTCAGGACGATTAGCCCCATGACCCTGAGAGCGATTAGCTCTTGAGGCATTAGACGATAGATCATCAGTGCGAGTAGCACTGGATCTCCTGAAGGCATTGCTTCTGAAAAAGTGTGGTCCGACAAAAAGTCAGGACCGGAAAACATCGGCTGTCCGGGCACTGGTCGTCATTCACAACGTCCAAGATTCCGGCCTGGCCGAGAACCCACTCATCGGTCACCACATGAGGTCCATCCTCGGTGATTCCCGCCATGAGTCCTACAGTAGCCTATGGAAAACGGCGCCTGCAGGGTTGTTATTAAATGGGGTTCGCGGTGCCAACCGAGGACGAATCCTACGGCTGATAACCTGCGAAAGGGTTTGAAACAGTATTTCGGGAGAGAATAAACAGGCCCAATCCCACCAACAAGAAGAGATTGTTTAAGTCCCCCAGTCCCAAGGGCAAAGCGGTGCCCCCGGCTGGCACAACAAACGAACCAAACAGGCTGCCTTTAACCAAAAGATGAATGAACCCAGCAAGGGCAGAGACAACCGAAAGCAAGCACAAAGCAGCAAACCAAGCAGGCAAACAATGCAGCGAAGCAAGCAAAGCAAACCAGAGCGCGACCCTACCACCCCAAGTCCTGACCCACAGCCAGCCGGCCCCGCACCGCCGGCTGGCGAGCCCGTGGTGTCCTTTTCCACGAGACCGCCGCGGCGCCGTGCGCGGGTAGTTGACGCTATGGCAAGATTAGGATGCCGTACGGAAAAGCTTGAGCCAAAAGCCGCGTTGGGCTTTGGCATGAAACATGCTATGATAAAAGTACATGCCCCCAAAAACAAAAAGGAACCAAAGAAAATCCGTTCAAAAGAACCGTTGGGGGAAGGACCCACTTTTCGGGTTCCTTCTGCATATCCGGAATATCTGACCCCACAGCCCCCAGCAACTCTGCCAGTTGGCCCTAGAAACAGCCACAATCGGGGCTCCTAATTGTCCTCCCTTCAAACATCACCCCACCAACAGGAAACTCAGTTTAACTTGGCAGCCAACACACAAGGGGGGTACGAAAAGCACGGGCACTGTGGTCAAAAATCTCTGCAGGCGGGCAATGATCAGCCAACTTCCCACAACAGGAACATGGGCTCCCTTAACCCTGGCTGAGGGGTCATCCTACCAAGCCCCTTCAACCGAACAAACCCGCCAACTTGGCCCAGGCGTTTGTTTTTCCCATTGTGATGTGTCGAAATCTGTTGGACCCTTGTTGGGACATCCCAAACAAAGAGCAAGGAGCCTGCTGCTGTTTGCAAGGGTGAAAGTCTTCTTCGACATTCCCTGCATTTGCAACAACTTAATGGTGCAAAAGCAGAAAGCAAAGCATGACACGTGGCTGCATGTCAAAATGGGGTCCCTCCAAGTTATAATGCATCAGAAACCAACAAGAGCAAAGCCGAGCCACCGTGCCACAGGGCCACATTCCATACCCCCTGGCCCCCCTGCAAGACACCCAAGAAACACAAGGAACGGCCCTCGCTTGAGGCTTGAGTTGGTATCATTCCTACTGAACCAGCTCTAGGAAACCACCGGGTTTGGACGGCAACCTCTTACTTGCTGTTAAAGCCACGATTGTTTAAACAGCCTTTTGGTTTCCCAACTGCCCATCTGCACTCTCATTAACTGCGAGCCAAGAGGC